AGTCATCATCATAATAACAGATAAATTATAATATCTCAGGCAACTCAGATAAATAGATCTACTGATAAATATAAAGAGATGAAATATTCTTTAAATAATAATTTATTGCACTTCAGTTTAATAATTTTTATTAAGTTAATAAGTGTTTTTATATGTCTTTACTCTTTACTCTTCTGAAAAATTAAATAAAGATCTTTTTGATTTTTAGAAACAGCAGGAAGAAGCGGATGAAATTTCGAAGATATTGAATTTAGCAGAAAAAGATCTTCAACTAGGGATGTTTTTTTTTGGATTTATTATTCCATTCGCGGTTGTCGAATCCAATTTTTTTAAAAAGTTTGTCAAAACTTTAAATCCGAATTACTCGCCGCCTACCAGAAAAACTCTTAGTAATTCTATTTTAAAAAAATTTATAATAAAATGTTGACCTCGATTCATTTTTAAAAAGAATGTCCACAAAGCAATAATCAAACGAATCAAACAAATATTCAAAAACTAAACACATAGCGGGAACCAACTAGATTGAGGTTATATTTGCTTTTGACCATTACGAGTGCCTACGTCATAAAATGTAACAAACGTTGTGTAGCAAACTGAACAAGTTGTATACACATGTAACATACGTAGCAAACTTAGGTAACATACATGAAGTATGATACTTACCCATCTCTGCCTTCAGCATAGCAGAATTTCATGAGAGTGTAAAGGAGAGAAGATAGCGCTATCCTTCACACTCTCATGAAATTGTGCTTTCTTCTTTCACATGGATTACACACTAATAATTAAAAATAATAATAATGAAATAATTATAATATAAATAAATAAAATAAATAAAAAATAATTATAATTAAATAATAATAATTAAAAATAAAACCATGAAAAAATGCGAGTTGTGACTGCACCCTTAAGGTCTATTGGGTAGAAAGTTTGGTGTGATAAGTTCGCGCATCTATATATTTTCTTTATAGTCTTTGATCGTAACCAAGAAGAAATGCTGGTAACTATGCATAACAGACATTTGCAATTTGCTAACAAACAAATGAAAATACAAAACGGAAACGTATACGTTTAAGCCATTTTGTCGACGCTTAGTGTAGTAACGCTTTTTCGGAAATAAATTTATGTGTGATACATATTGTATCAAATGCAGAAATGTCGGCAACAAAAAAGAGATTTTTGTTAATTAACTTCAAAGATGGAGCTCAGGTTATACCGCGAAACTGGGTTAGTGAAAATAATACTGTATTTTGGCCAACATTTAAGAGTATGGCTTATTTTTACAAAATCGTTGAATCGGAAAAAGAACCAGAGTCAAATTGGATTGAAATCGAGTTAGAAGAAGAAATTGCATCTGCAGGTAAGTAAATTTTTCAATTTTTTTTTGTAATGTAAATCACATTTTAAAGATAATGGAAAAAAAATCGTTTTGCTCATTTTTAAAAAGCTCTGAAAAATTTATTTCTCGCGCAGTGTTGTCGGCTTAGAAAGATTTTATTTCAACAACCCGTAAACTTTTTTTTCTAAACGCAAAATTAAAAAAGTGAAATAAACAAAAAAAATAAAATAAAGAAATGCTATTCGAAAAATTTGAGTTCTTTTTTTTTTAATATTGGTGAGAAAAAGTATTACAATATTTACTAAAATCTTTTTTTATAACTTTATAATTTATAATTCTTTAATTTTGTTAATAAATATTTTACTTTACAGTAAATCAATTTTGATATATACATAATTCATACTTTTAAAACCGTTCATCTACATATAAATTTAATAATTTTTTTATTCGACTTTTTTATATGGAGAAACTATTGTTTTCTTTCAAACAAATTAATTAACCTATTTTGAGAAGACAATTTAATTTTAATACAAGGTGTTTAGCGACTTTTAAATATGATTAATTTATTTTTTTTTCTCAGTAAGAATCTAAATACTGGTTTAATTATAATGAAACATGAAATTTTTTTTCTAATCAGTATACAATAAATACATACTAATTTCGTCATTACATTGAACACTGACGTTATTTCTAAGTCAGAGAATTTATTTGGTATAAATATGTCAGTAGGGAACAAATATAAAACGATTAGAAAATAATTCTTTATCTGGATAAAATTAATAAAAAAATAAAAAGGCGGTATGAAAGTTAGATGTTTTAAATATTACTCTTTTTATATCTTTAGAAAAATTAAGAGACATAAAATTTGTTTGAAAATAGAAAGCAATTGATGTGTAGGCGATAAATGTCACAAAAATTATTGAGTAATAGCAGTATAATATAAAAGTCAAATTTTTGTATTATTTTTAAAAGCCCAACGAAAAAATTTTCGATGCAAAAAGTCGTGTCTGATAAAAATTATCTCAATTATCGAAACAATTTATGAAATGAAATAAAAGTTATACAAGTAAAATTGATGACTATAATATTAATTAATAAATTTTAATTAATTTAATCCATTAAATTTATTGATAATAAATAATAAAAAAAATAAATAAAAAAAAATAAAATTTAATAAATTTAATTAATTAATTAATATATATTAATTAATTTCTTCATTTTTAAATTAAAGAATAGAAATATTAATTCACATTAAATTTTTAAAAAACATAAAGGAAACATAAAACAAAGAAAAGAAACATAAAAGAAAGCCGCGAATCTATTTTCGACCAAAATTGCATATCTCGAAAAATTCTTTACTGATTTCGTTCAATTTTTTTTGCCAAGTAAAAAATGTCAAAAGAATAACTTCTGTCACAAAAACTTTAAGGTTTTTAAGAAATTATAAAAATTATGCTCAAAAAACAAAAATAAACTATTTTTCGATTCTTGCTCACACCTGGAGTCAATAATTCTTAACCGATTCGCCTGAAACTCGCAGATAATATCAATTGGATCAAAGCTTGATACATAATGAAGAATATTGCAATACATCCAAAAAAATTTTGAAATTTTTTATTTTATTATGCTAAAAATTTAAGAAAGAAACTTTCAGAATGGGACCTACTTAGATGATTTAACTCTCTGTTGAATTTACTAAAATTATTATTATCGCAATCTGTTGAAAAAAACTTGGTGTGAATGGTTTTTTTTACATGTAAAGTAAGATCTATTAATGCCTTACACGTGAATTGCTGCTAGACAATGTATTTTATATAGTGTCAGAGTTGACACAGGTGAGGGAAATCAGGGGAAAAAGTCAGGGAATTTTATCAAAAGTACTGGAAAATTGAAAAATTCAGGAAGTGCAATGGAAATTCTGCTTTTCGCAAATTTTAATTCAAATACTGACTTGAAAAAATTTCTGTAAAATTTTTTTATAAGTAAAAACCTCTTCAAATCTTTTTATTTGAGTCAGGGAAAAATACAAAGTTTCATCCAGGGCCGACGGAGATAGTGTGGAGTGAAGAAGTACTCCACACCTGGGAAATTTTCTGGTTTGAAATTCCACACCTGGAAATTTCAATGAAAGTGTAAAACTACATCCAAATTTAATGATATGTAAATAGAAAATTTAATCTAGTAATACACTTTTATTCGCTCACTTAAATTTCACATATTGTTTCAAGAATTGAGATAATTTTTACTTGCTTATTTCGTACTTACATCAGAGTATTTTTTTTTATGTAACACATTTTTGGCTAACAATTTTTAATTTGCAGATACTTTTCAAAGAGCTATGGAAAAATTAAAGTTATATGAAAAAGGTTCAGATGTTAGTACAGACCCCGACGCCAAGTCGAACCGAAAATTTAAAAAATTAAAAAGACATTCTGACAGTGATTTTCAATATGATTCAAATGGAGGAAATAAAGTTCCAAACAGCAACATGCAAATGAATTTTAAAGTTACTCCTATCGACGAACGTAAAAAGGAAAATTTACCACCATTTCCTAAATTAAAGTTACCAAGATCAAAAATTCCATTTGTTTCGAGAGTTGAAAGGGTTTCATTACCTTACCATCATCAAAAGAAAGGAAATTATGGAAATCCATCGTTGAAACCGACAAATTTTGTAGCGAAAAATTCTGTGACAACAAATCCAGATCCGGCTGTGGAAAATTCTATTACGAAAAATTCTGTTATCACAGATCCTGTTAGCACAAGTCCTGTCATCGCAAGTCCTGTTCATTCAGATATGAATAAAGATACTTCATTGACAATTGATCCTACAAGAAAGCCATATGGTACGTCTGCCAATCCACAAAAAGTTTTGGTACAAAAAAATGCAACTGAAGAGCTGAGTTCACTGAATAGACCAAATTTGAGGGTTCCCAAACACACTGCACAAGTTGTACCGGCGTTAAATCAACGTGCTAAAGGATTTAATTTTTCTTCGCGACCAAAACAATGTCCAATTGTACGAAATATATATGCTTCTGACAACGTATCATTGCAAAGAAAACCAGTTGCTGATCTTCAAAATAATACTCCAACAAACCAAAATAATGAAGGTAATTAACTTATTGCAATGATTTTAAATACGTTTTTGAATTTATTTCTGTAAATTATAGTTTCAATATTGTTTTTGTATAAATTAAAAAAAAATATTCTGCTCAGAAGATGATTTAAATGTCATCTCATAAATAAAGATAGGAACTTTTTTCTAAAGCATAAAAACATAATTTTGCTTGAAAATTTTTTGTTGTTTTTGGAACCCGAGATCGTCTACAACGTTTATCATCAACGATTCCCAATAATTAATAAATTGTCAAGCATAAAATAATAACACTTTATATCCTTTAAATTTTTGTCTATTACAAGTTGATATAAAAAAATAACATACATTCTTGTAGACAAAGATTTAAAATAAAAAATCTATCATAAAAATTTTTTGGTTTGAATCCGAAGATACTAAATTTTAGTCTTTAAGCTCGCCTTTAAGATAAATAAGTAAATAAATTACATTACTTATTACAGATTTTCAGTTTCGTAAGGCTGTGATGCAATCATTAACTCAGTTGAAATTCCTACTTTCATCTATAAATGAAAGAATTGATGATTTGAAAAGTGATATAAACGAAACAAAAAATGTACTACAAGAAAATGGTGTTAATGGAACGGTAACATCAAATCCAAATGAAATGAATAATATCAAAGCAATTTTCCCAATTCAGGACTTACAAGAACTGGAAAATTTCGAAAATAATCTCACGACAGCAGAATTTCGCCGGGATGTCGTAAGTGTTTTCAAAATATTTTTATGTTAAAGTTCAAATATTATTAGTTAAATTTTTCGATGTTTATGTAAAAATCGGGGTAATTCCGACACTCTTAAAAAAATCCATTGTCAAAGATTAATAAAAATTGTTAATTTTAAATATTCGGAAAAAGTGAGGGCAATTTCAACAACCTTATAAAATAATTTTTTCATTTTTCATTTTTTTTCTCGTGTTTATACTCCTGCCCTATTGGGCATATAACCATTCTACAAATTTTCTTAAAGTTAACCTACTGCGCCTACAGTGCGACTTTTTTCGAAGATATAGGTGTACTTCGCATTTCCCTGGCCACCCATTGGGTATTCTTGCCAGTGGACAGTTAGGAAAAAACTGTAGTGAAAAACCCTCCAGAGTACAAACGGTTTATCGACAGTCTAGTTTCGGCGGTATGCATCGGATTATAATAAAAAATTCATACCATAGCACCTAGACGTCAAACCTTCCGCTCAGAATAAGCTCACCTGTAGGAAAAAATCCCCAACCAACTGAGCTATTCTGTCGGTTATAAAATAATAATTTCGACTGTCTACTTTCAAAATTTTGTATTCATTACATGAAAAAGGAGCAGTTTTCTTTCATAAAAATTGTCTATGTTAAAAAATGTAACAAAGATGTCGATTTATTTTTAAAAAATTCGAGAAAGGTTAACGTTGTGGCACAAATTTGACAGATTCTTGGTAAAGGACTAAATCTGACCTAACCAATTTTGTGTCACTTTAAATGTGTAATATTAATATAATACAATGACTTTTCTTCCAAAATAACATTTATTTTCAAGCGGCCGTCTCCTTTGCTGCTTTGCCTTTTCTTGATTCTGATATCTTTCTTTCCTTTTTCCAATTTTCTGACAATTTACTTCCAAACTTCCTGACAATTTCTTTTAAATTTTCGACGAATTCTCTTCCAAAATTTCCTGCTAATTCTCTCTTTAAAATTTTGTCGAATTTGTAGAGCAGTCGCCGGCCGTAAAGGACCGTCTCCTTTGCTATGCTGCCTTTTCTTAATTCTGCTTTCTTTGTTTCTAATTTTCTGACAATATACTTTCAAGTTTTCTGTAAATTATTTTTTATTAATTTCCGACAAATTCCCTTTTCATTAAAAATTTTTAAGTCAAATTTTTTTCTAATTTTCTGTCAATTATGATTTTTTGCTTGTGAATTTAATTTTAAAAATTAGCGCCAAAATGATTGGAAAAATTTGTAGGGCCACCTGCTCTACGTCTTCACTTGCGATATGCTTTAAAAAATAAATGTTCTCCAAGGATTAATTTCCATATATTTACATGCATTATTGCCGAATGAATAGAGTAATACCTAATTCTAATGTTGATTTTGCGATGTTGGGATTTGGGGTTCAAAAAAAATTTTTTTTTTTGACAATAATATTTATTTTAAGAGATTTTTTAACATATGCAAAGAAAAAAGAAAAAGTTTTAAAACATTTCTGCATTCTTATTGTGCTGAAGCTAGCACCTAGTTATTTTATTAACTGAAAATTAAGTATTTTAACTTTATTTAGTTCTTATTAACACAATATTTTCTCAAATTAATTAATTTGATTATTATTGAATTTATTACAGGGGCTTAGCCAGGGTGGGGGTACAGGGTTTAAACCCTCCCCGAAATCTTACATTTTCTTTAACCCCTCTTTTTTTCTGAAAAAATTTTCTGAGTTATAGTTATAAAACCCCCACCGAAATTTTTTTCTGGCTACGCCTCTGATTTATTATGTTAGTAAAAACATAGATAAAGTGAAAATATAATATATTTTGAATATATAAAATTTTCAGCTTCTTTTCCTTAACAAAATTGGAGGGAAAAGTGTTAAAGAAGCTGTTTATTGCATGTTACAAAAAGTGTTTTGTAACAAAGTCGCAACTGATTTTAGTTGGATTGGATATCATGGAAAATACAAGTTCTGTGATTTGGAAATTACCAAGTTGATGATGGGTGAGTTTAAAATTTTTGAATATTTTTGACAATTACAAAAATTAGAAACTTTATCTTTATAACTCCTTACAATTCTGCCTTTGCTCAATTTCAAATTTCCATTCCTGTTGACCAAGTGTGATTTTCAGATGAAATAAAAAAGCAACAAAATTTTAGATAGTATTTTAAATATGATTGAAAATTATAGTTGAACAACATACTACGTATTGATTAAAACCTAAAGATGTGCAGAAGTGAGAAAAACTCAGATAGACAATCGAAACAATTTATTTGTAATTTTACTGTTTCTCAATTAAACCTGCTCAGATATTGTGGCTGGGCCCTGGCTGGGAAGCCTCAAAGCCGCTTGAAACAAGGAACCCGGTCGGGGCCGCTAGAAAAAGACCGATCTTCAATACATCTCATAACTTTAATTAGTTTTCCCAAAAAATTAAGAGAATTGGACGCGTATTTTTATCAAAGACGTGGCAGAAACTTTAAGCAAAAGGATATTTATTGATAAATATTATATAGAAAATCAAATTATGAAAATATCTGTATATTGAGAAAAACAAAATTTTTGTGAAATATTATTTTTATTTTATTTATTTATTTTTAAATAATGTTCCTAAGGTTAAAAAGCCTATCGCAAAGTAAAAAATATAAAAACAATTTGCCGTATATAATTATAAGCTTAAAATCTATTTGAAAAGAAAACAAAGAATGCACTAAATTTAAGATAAAAACCAAAATTCAAAAAAGAAGAAAAAATTTTATATAATCAAACTTATGTACAAATTAAAATTTCTGCCACTTTAAAGTTGTTTTTCCACTTTTAAGCCCCTAAACATGATGCGGATGATTGGACATAATACATTGGATGATTGAGTAACCAGTCCAATTATCCAATTGTCGTTTAGACATTTCGAGATTGAGAACATATTATTTCAATCTTTATGGTGTAAAGTTGGAGAGCGATTTCTAACAGTGTAAAGGAAATTAGTCGATTATAATAATAGTTTAATTCAGGCGCGTATTCAGGGAGGGGTTTGGGGTTTACCCCCCCCCCGAAACTTTTTTTTGGTTACACCCCTAGTTTAACATTGTATACGTATTATTTATTACATTATATTAACATTCGATTAAAATTATGATTCATTAAAAATTAGAGATTCATTGAATTTCTTATCTATTAATTAAAATTTGTTTATTTATTTTATATAAAAATAATTCACACAAGTGAGCGTTAGCAAGCGAGGATACATCGCTAGTAATAATTAACTTAATCAATCTCTAACTTTAAAAGACATTCTTAAAACAAGCTTATATAATAAGAAATTGAACTTAATCTTGATTTTCTGATTTCTCCACTTAAATTAAGTAGAAAATATTCTTAAAATAAGATTATGCTTATTTTAAGAATATTTCCCACTTAATTTAAGTGGAGAATATTTGTGGCGCCTATTTAAGGTTGGGTTCTCAAATGACAGTACTAGTCTACATCTATAATGGTATATTTATATCTTCTATCGAAATATACCCTTTATCCTACATTTTAGCACAAGACCAGTAAAAATTGCATTTAAAGTTCGTGTGTGGTCTTCAAATTACATTAAATCATTGAATCTTTAAACCTGATAAAAATGAGTTTTTACCGATCAAAATATTATTATCTTTTTGAAACGTTAAATCTTTATATATGGTGAGGTACTAGGGGATTTTGGGGTCTTTGATTACGAACCTACAGTAAGAATTCAAAAATTCAAAATGATGGATCCAATATTATGGAAGTATTTTGAAAAGATCATTGGATTAGACTACATCCAATTACAAATTTTTTTCTTCTTTATGTTTGGAAAATATTAATATTTTTTAAAAGTTGGATTTTTTTACTAACGAAACATTTTGTTTAAATATATGTGTATTTAATCTATATTTTAAGTTGTATTTGCAATTAGAAATATATCTAATAATTACTTTAACTTTGTTTTATGTCAAATAACTTTTCTATGTGTCGACACCTGTCGTCAGGAAAATGTTTTTTCAAATGTCAGTTCAATATAATTGTATCTTAAAAACAAATTTAATACGAAGTTAACTCGAAAATTAATGCTAAACAATATTATTCTTAACTATTCTTAAATTCAAAAAAATGTTATCTCAAAATACAATACAATAAAATAACAACTGAACCAAGCGTACAATATGCTTTCTCAAAATAATATATTTATTTTAATTAATATTTTTAAGTAATCTATATTAATAAATTAAATACATACTCATACATATAAACGCTACTTTCACAACTTTGTTTCATAATTAGATAAAAAATTTTAATTCAAGTAAGTGTCAAGTTAAAATAATATTTTTCCTTGTCAAATAGTTTTAAAATAGAATAATTTCTGTGCTACAGCTAAATTTGTTAAAACTTATTCATTTTCTTATAAAATGCCAAAAATGTTTAAATCACCATTAAAAAACAAATTTATACATTATTATTAGTTTTTGGCAAAAAACCATAATACATAAAAAATGTATTTTTATGAGATCTGCCATTGTGACTATGATTTTCATAATCAGCGCATAAAAATACATAGGAATGTGTAGTACCAAAATAATCTGAGGTTTGCATGAGAGAATACTCAATTTTGATAATTTCAAAAAATCGAGTATAAAAATTTGAGCCAATTTAAAAATTTCAATTTTGATGATATGTAAGTTTGGCGTGGAATCATATATATATATATATTAGATATTAAAACCCATCTCTGTTTCGATGACATAATTGCATTTATTTGTTTGTTTTGTGTTGATCAATAACGCGTCGTTTTACCTGCCATTAAGGAGTCTTCTATAAATATATTTAAGGTGGAACTCGAGGTTGTAATCGAAACAACCCTATGATTTCTGGGAGGGTATAATTTGTAGCTCTCGCAAGAGGACAAAATAAGAATATTTTCAACCGGATAAATTAAGTCTTTTTTTCATTTTACTGAATCATTCAACAAGTTCTAGAATAAGTACTCAGTATTTAGTTGGCGGTAAATAATATACTACTTATCAAATCTGGTCATTTCGTAGCTTATTGGACAAGCCCTGTAGAAAAATTTAAATTTTACTTAAGCTTGTTTTTAACGAGTTCTTCGAAAGTTAGAGATGTTATTAGAATGTTTAAATTAAAGTCTGCAAGGTACATAATTATTTTTTAGAGTCTCTACAGAAAAATAAAAATTGGACGGAGAATTCGATCATTGCAAAAATTAAGGATTGGTTGCGTCATGCACCACAACGTTTGAACACTGAAAACAAAAAGCTTGACTGGAACCCAAGCAATGATGATGATTATCTATTTGAAAATGAGAATGATGATTTAGAAATTGTTGAGGGAGAAATTGCCGAACCCCAAAGAAATGCTGAAACCAATTTCGAAAATGGCGATGACGAAATTGACGATGATGGAAATGCCGTTGACGAAGACGACAATAACGAATTTGACGAAGACGAAAATGACGATGCCAATAATATTTAAATTGATTAATTTCTATAAGACTTTAAAATTGTGTTTCTTGTTTTTTTTTTTGCAAAAAAAGATTGATTTTATACTGTGACATTAAAGTGCATTATTTTGACTTACAGTTGTGTGTAACGATGCCTTCCCTCATTTGATATGAAAATAGATGGTGAAAAAGATTGGTATTTAATACATCAAGAATTCATGACGCATTTCGATGTTGAATTCAACATCCTCATCAGAACATAGTTTCTGCAAAAACTAATTTTTTTCATGACACTAAGATGTCAAATACATTCGATATTATACAGTTTTAATACATACCAAGCAAGGAAATAAAACATTAAAAACCGTCGTCTTTAATATGTTTTATTTCCATTGGTATGTATATTAAAACTGTATAACATCGAATGTACCTCTGACATCTTAATGTCATGAAAAAAATTAGTTTTTGCTGAAATTATGTTCTGATGAGGATGTTGAATTCAACATCGAAATGCGTAATGAATTCTTGATGTATCAAATAAAACTATCCATTTAGGCCACAGATCAATACCATCTTTTTCATCTATTATCTTGGCTTAAAATAATAAGGTTTTACTTCGAATACTCACTAATTTGATGTTTTACTTTTTTTTATATATAATTTGTTGAATGTGGACAAAATTTCGATTTTCAATTGGTTCATTTTAAAAATCATATCGAAAATAGGTAAATCAGAGGGTTTTTGCATTCTTATAATATGCAATGATTCTCAAGTAAATTATTTCTACTCCTGAATGACTCATCGTGGTTCATAATTGACTCCTGCACAAGTGGGACATGAGTTACTATTTATGAATGTCACTTATCAATCACGATGAGTCACTTAGGAGTTATTTAAAATAAGCAAACCACTGAAAATTAATGCCTTTATTTAGGGAAAGCGTTGTTACACACGACTATACTTGATTGTATTATAATTTTCAAATGCAGATTAAAAGTACATACATAAATGTCAAAGTGATTAATTCAAAAAGTGTTCAAAACTGACAGATTTAATAACGTCATGGTTTCCTGCACAAAAAATACAAATAGATAATTTCATAACTACATTATGAGCAAGAGCTCTGACTGCTTCCACATCATTCTGGGTTCGAATATATTATGAGACAAAGTTAAAGGTTTGTTTGGTCAACTATCCTCAAATTATTCCTTTTTAATCTAATCACTGAAATCCTATTTTTTTCATTTGAGGGAAATATCTTGCTGATTCAAGCTGAAATTAAACATGTATAACAAAAGAAAGGTTTCTTCAAAATTTCAAATAGTTCTTGAGCTTTTAAATGTAATTAATAATTAGCACTTTTACGAATACCGCATCAATTTTTGACAATCAAATTTAAAGTTAACAAATAAAGACATGAATTGCATTTTTTGTAATATAAATTAAATCAACAAGATGCTTTTCTCAAATGACGCCTTACAACAAAACTAACAGTATAGCTATACATTAGTATTAGGAAGAATTTAGTTCTTTGAAGAGATTCACTGTGACAAAATTGTTATTTGCGCCCATGCCACACAAATAATTTTTTATATAACATTTTGCGTCAAAAACTCGACTGAAGTGCTGTTGTGGAAGGAGCCACTGTGCGTAGAAGTACGATTTCCCCTCCTTTTAAACACCAGTGCGTAAACTGCGCTTTAGTCGAGTTTTTGACGCAAGGTGTTATAAAAACTAATTTTATAATTGATTTTTTTATTTTTATATATTAAAAGCGACTAATTTGTATGCGTAATCTTATAATCATCATATGGTAAAGTTTTGGTGATGGAAATACCATAAGAGATAAATTTTGGTAATACCATAAACTGCTAATAAGCTTATTATACAATCTAATTATCCACCATGAATTAATTGAACTTTTTTCTTTTGTGTAGTTTTGTATTCTTTTCTATTAGAGGTGTGCAAAAAGCCCGAAAACTCGGGTCGGGTCGGGCTGACATTTTTTCGGGTCGGGTCGGGCTCGGGTAACCCGAAAGTGTCGGGCAGCCCGAAAAATTAGGGCTACCCGAATTTTTTCGGGTTATTGAAAGAACTCGATTTCTCAAAAATTTTGATTTTTTCAAAAATTTCGAGCACTGGATGTATCAAGAAAGTTTGTGTAGCATTCCAGTACTCGAAATCTCAAATATTTTTTAATAATAAATTAAATTAATTTTTAAACAATAAAAAATGTTAAAAATCCGAATGCATTCGGGTACGCGACAACATTCGGGTTTTTGAAAAAGCCCAACCCGAACCCGACCCGAGCCCGAATTAACCAAACCCGACCCGACCCGATAATGAAAAAGCCCGAAATTTTCGGGTCGGGTTTCGGGCTTTTTGCACACCTCTATTTTCTATACATTCATTAGCTGGGAGACACGGATTTTTAGAACCCTATTTTTAATTTAAATTTTTCTCTTTACAATGCTTATGATGAATTAAATTAAGTAATTTTGTATCCTTCATATATTTTTTTGCAAAAATAAAAATTAACTAATTTTATAACTTCAAAACATTAGAACATTTATTTAAAATTTTTTCTAATTTCAAATTTGCAATCCCTTTTTTAAGTATTATGTTTAAGTGAGATTTGTTGCTCTCAAAAACCGAGCTGCAGAAAATGTAACTAAGATATGACAAAAATGAAGAATATTAAATCTTTGTGTAAAGTACCGTCCACGAGAATCAGGACAATTACACTCAACTCACTTTTACTTGAAGAAATTGTAACTTTTTGTAATTTTAAGAGTAAAAACACCTAATATAAGATTGTACTTGCAAATGTCCAACTATTACATTTACCCTATATAAGATTTTTAAAATCAAAGATAAATGTTTAATCAATCTGCATTATATGTCATGGTGAATCCTCTTTAATTGAACTCCATTTGTTATTCGAACGAAAATAATTCATCAATTTTTAAAATATTACAAAAAATATAATAATTAAGCAATTTAGCAAAAGAGATACGACACAGATATTGAAAAAGTCAGTCGTATTTAAACTGTTTTATTTTCAGTCGGATAATCATTAACGCTATTCGACAATTTGTATTGTGTTGTGTTGTCAATTTATTTATTTTTATTTACATAGAAAAATTATTTTCAGGTAAAATTTAAACAATGAAGAGAAAACGATTAATGGATTTGTCTGAACGTCAACTGCGACATCGGGTTTCCCAAGATATGCTACAGCATTCTTTCTTACATGTTACTTTGCCAAATACAGCCGAAGTAGATAATACGACACATAACTTGTTGAACGTAGTAATAAGTAATTCAAATCAGTCGACCAGTTCAACCAGTCAATCAGTTCATAATGAAATTGAAATTGTCAATGAATCCACAACCTCTGAACCAGTTTTTTGTGAAAACTCGTCAAACGTCAATCAAGATGACTTGAATGTCCAAGATGATCTGAGAATTGATTTGGACAACATTTATTATGAAAATGAAAACTATGAAATGGATAAAGACTCTGAAAATTTGAAAACTTTTTTAGCAACCTGGGCTGCAGATTATAATATAACACATTCTCAACTTAAACCTTTATTACATAAATTGAATGAACACACATGTTTCCAAGAAGAAATTCCTAAAGATCCAAGAACATTACTTAAAACCCCTAGAAATAAGACAGTTATAAAAACAGTTCGACCAGGAATCTATTATCATTTTGGTATAAAAAGTGCAATTGAAGAGATACTCACTAAATATGAGAATTATCCGTTATCAAATATTAAAATAAAAATAGGAATTGATGGTGTTCCATTAGCTAAATCTTCAACAGCACAATTCTGGCCAATTTTAGCTTCTATTGGACCATTTCCAGACATTTTTATAATTGGTGTTTATTTCGGACATGAGAAACCTACATATGAAGAGGAATTTCTTGAAGATTTTCTGTCAGAAGTAGAAGATTTATGTATTGATGGTTTTAACTTCAAAGAAAAAATTCTCGACTGCGAAATCGATTGCATTATTTGTGATGCACCGGCTAAATCATTCATTTTAAATGTCAAAGGACACACCGGTTATCACAGTTGCACCAAATGTATCATCAGAGGAAAGTGGAGTAAACATAGAGTATGTTTTCCTCACACAGGCAGATTCCATAAAAAACGAACTGATGCAGACATCCGAAATCAATTACATAAAAAACACCAATCGGGACATTGTTGTTTGCGCCGCATTCCAAATTTCGATCTCGTTAACGATATTCCACTAGATTATATGCATCTCGTGTGTCTTGGTTGCATGAAAAGATTAATGTACTTTTGGGTAATTGTACGTTCAAAATGTCGCTTACGAAAATGGCAAATAAGCAAACTCTCGTTACGTTTACTCAGAATAGCAAAGTATATTCCGACAGAATTCGCTAGGAAACCTCGTTCTATAAAAGTAATAAAGTTTTGGAAAGCAACAGAATTCAGGCAATTCCTTTTATACACAGGCAGCGTGCTTTTGAAAGAAATTTTACCCTATAAATTGTATGTACATTTTAATTCACTTCACGTTGCTATCAGAATTTTGTGTAGTAAAAATTTGGCAAAGAAAAAAAGATACTCGAATTATGCGGATGACTTATTGTCACACTTCGTTAGGTCCCTTACTATTTTATACGGAAGTTTTAGTGTATCTCACAACATGCATGGGTTATTGCATTTAGCAGATGTTGCCAAAAGGCGAGGTTCACTTGACAATTGCAGCGCGTTTGAATTTGAGAATTTTATGCAGTACCTTAAAAAATGGATGAGGAAAGGTGACAAACCCCTACAGCAGCTTGTGAGAAGATATTCGGAATTTAAAAAAAATTGTACGAAACTGACAAAGGCACCGAAGGAGGGAATTATAATTAACGATTGTTCTCAACATTGCGACGGTCCTTTGCTCGATGGATGTTGTACCCCTCAGTATAAAAAATTAACAATTGAAGGATTAACATTGGATGTTTCAAAACTAGGTGACACTTGTTTCGGTCTCAACAACAAAGACATTATATTAATCTCCAATATTGCACATTCTGCGGATTCCAAAGAAATAGTTGTAATTGGACAAAAGTTTAAAACTGTTGGCGATTTTTATACGAAACCATGTAAATCCTCTGTAGTAAATGAATTTATAGTAAAAGACTTGTCCAATTTACAAATGTGGCCGCTGAAGGAAGTAAAACGAAAATATCTAATCATCCCGACAAAGAAAAATGAATATATAGTGTCTTCATTGTTGCACATCGATTGATTTTATTTAAGAAAGAGACTGAATTATGTTTGCGATAAATTAAATTTATTAGTATTTAATTAATTAACCTTCTGTTAATTCTTAATGACAAGTCAATCATATCGGAAATAAATTTTCTCATTCAATAATCGTCGTAAGCCCTTGCCTAGAATAAACATATTGAGAATAAATAACATAAATTGAATAAATTTCTTCTGGGCATTTTTAATGGCAAGCCATTTGTACTAGAAATAAATTTTATGATCCTGTATTCATTGTCGACCTATTTCTCAGAATTCTCGATGCAAACAAAAAAATGTACAGTTTCGCTTAAAGATTAATTTGTCTTTGCCTTGAAATGTAAATTGAATAGTCTCATATTATTAATTTATTATAACAAAAAATATTAGCTTTGTTATCTGCGAAGAAGCACATACGTGTAAATAAAAGAGAGATTAACTATTGTTTGCTACAAAAAAACACGAATACTTTTTAATAAATGTCGATTAGATTATACTGTTAACGTTTTATTCTCAACATGTTCGATATTGTTACACTTATCTCTGCAACACAACCGACGTCATTAATCCTCGAAAAAATGTGTTCTTGTTCGCATGATTATGTTTTTACATCATAGTCTTAAATAATCTGCATCATCGAGTGTGAGGTCAATCGATTTTTGTTAATTACATTTTAAGAATAAGTTGAAGATGTTGCGTTTATTTAATAGTTAATTATTGTCTTATGGTGAAAAGTTTATTTTCAATAAGCTTGACATTATTGTATCACTACTGTAATTCAGCCGACATTGTCAAACTTAAACAGAGAATTTATTTTTATTGTTTGTTGAAATAAATTGATTATTAATTTGATTTTAAAAATAAATACAAATGAAATGCAAATATTTAATTTGAAATTTATGAATAAAAAGTTTATTATTCCAATAATCAATTATTCGTTTAAGATTTAATTCCTTGAACTATTCGTAGAATTGAGTGTCAATGCGGTTAAGCACTTAATTGCAAGTTATCAAGCCAATCAAGTGACCAAAAAATTAAAGGGATTGATTTTAAAAATTTTTATTTTTAAAATATTATACTTTGTAGGAAATGACGAGGTGTAAATTTTTATCTTTGAGTTTTATTATGGAACAAAATCTATCAAAAATAAATGCAAAAATTAAAAAATTTTATTTAATTTGTAAACTTAAAGCGTCGTATTTTTATAAAATATTAATAAATTCATTTATATATATAAACGCATTTCTATTTAGGAAAAACGATAATTAATTAAATCATCAATATTTTAACAATTTTTAACTATCAATAATGGCCAGTAACAAAATATTGTTTTAAAAAGTTTTTTGCATTTATTTAAAGTTTTTGTATAATAAAAATGGTCGAAGAAAAAAGATGATCCTCTTTACTTTCTACAAGGTTGTATATTTTCAAAATAAAAATTCTGATTTTTAATTTTTTAACATTCTTGATTGCTTTATTGTCTTGAACTTTATTACTGAAACAGTTTTTACAGGACTCTTTCAACTCTAAAAAGCCTTGGTCCTGTCGCCTCGACACTGAAACACTGCTTTAGTTCCTTGTCTTTTTTAAGTGAATTTTCCCTGAGACCGTAATACGTCAAAACATAAATTTTTCAGATTCCTATAACATGGTTATAAGAAACGTACATACATTTAATATTGCATATTTGTTACAATATACTGCACACAATTATTAAACGTATTTAATATTCAGCAGATATTTACAATATCCACCCGATGTAAAACTTGATTGAAGTAATATTATAATTTTAAAAATTTTTATTTTCAATATTATAGAATATAAACAAAATATAATATTCATGAAATATCCTAGCGTCATCCCAGCGATATCCCTGGGATATCGAGGGATATCCCTGGGATCTCCTTGGGATATCCCTGGGATCTCCTTGGGATATCGTGGGATCTCCCTGGGATCTCCCTGGGATGTCCCAGGGATATCCCACGATATCCCAATCACCGGCGGTTTGGATGTCCCAGGGATATCCCTGGGATATCCCAGGATATCCCTGGGATCATATCTGGATATCCAACATTTGATGTGGATATCCCACGGATATCCGTGGGACATCCTTTTGTTATTAGGGAATTATTATTTATTTTTAAAAATTCTTTTATCTCTCTAATTTACAAAACGACATTTTTCTTTTGAAAAATATGTATTGGACTTTGCTGTCTTCGTGAAAAACAATAAATATCTAAAACTTTTAATTTAAGAGCATTATATACAAAAAATTGTCTTACGTTAAGCAGGTGTAAAGTGCTCATTTGTGTTTTCTATAATATATGTGATTCTACAAACAAGAGAATGTTGCTCGATCAAGCTTATTTTGTAGTATATTAATTTTATTTTTAATGAGAATTGTAAATTTTAATAATTTCTATTATGTCAATAAAAAGAAACCGATTAAAAATAATATTTTTTGAAAAAATACACATCAAAGTGGTTAACTAAACTAAACATCATACCACCCTCGTTTTATTAAATCTGCTATTCTATTATCAAAAAATGTTTCTTTTTTGGGTGAAGGGTTGCGTTTGTGAATTTTTTTCTTTTTACTATGGAGAGCCCTAAAGGAGCCCTAAATTTTTGCCTTAAAGAATTTTTGGTTTTTCATTTTATTTTTAAGTTTGGTGCTTGCTTAATATTAAGCTAGCAACAACATCCTTCTTTTTTAAAAAAAATAAGGAGCTGTTTAGTTTTGCTTCTTAGCGCTAATTAGACCAATTAGAGCCTTAAATTCTGTCGAAATTGGAAAAAAAATTAAACAACTCCAGATAACTATTTGCACTAATTAAATTGTTAAAAAACAATTGGACACTTTTTTGGATTAAGGATTGCTTTTGGTAAATTCTTTCTGGATACATTGGGAGCCCTAAATTATGTCATTTAAAAATTCTTGGTTTTTAATTATACTTACTGAAAATTTGCAACTATTTGTGATAGGCTATCTTTGAGGTTGCACTAACACGCTTCTTTTTTTAAAAAAGGGAATTAGTGAGGGTGGTTTTTTTAATTCAGGGTGCCTAAATATAATTTACAGGGTTGTATACGGAATATCCAGGACAGGAAAAATGAATTGGATAAAAAATCATGATTTTTAAAACTTTTGTATCGACTCATATTGGTAAGGGAAGTTTTTTGGGTGAAGGGTTGCGTTTTTGAAATTTTTTCCTTTTTCAATGGAGAGCCCTAAATGAGCCTTAAATTATGGCATATGAAAATTTTTGATTGTTTTTTGAGTTTATAGAGCTGTTGATGCTAGTTAACCTTTATGGGACTGACGAGGTACCCGGGTACCTTTTTCATTTTCAAATTGGTTTTTTTCGTAATTTTTAAAATCGTACCGACCTAAGGTTTTTTGACATCTCAAATTTATCCATATTAAGTGTTTTATTATTATTTATAATGTACCTTTTTTATTTATTTTTTCGCAAATAATAAACAATGTTTCTTCACCCTTAAAAGGGGGACAAGGTACCCGGGTACCTCTGTACATTTCATGTAGATAAATGTAGAAATTTCTATTGAAAATTTATGAAAAATTAGGGGAGAGTAGTCAGGGTTGGACAGTGGTCAGGGTTGAGCCATCGCGTTTATTCTGTTTTATCCATCTATCTTTGTATTTGAGTATTTGTTAGTAATGTTAGCGAACTTTTCACATACGTTGTAGTGAAGTGTGCGAACAACAAAGACGTATTATGCAAGTCAGTGCTGTACGCTCAACAAAAAACTTTTTTCTTGTTTCAAAAGAAGACAATTAAGTGCAGAAAAATTATGTCAAAAACAAAGTAACTTGACTAAAATTGTTCATTAAGATGTTATATGAAAATGTGGAACGTAATATGGTGTTTGGATCACGCATTTATTTTTGTGTGTGATGTGACGCTAAACGACGCGTGTGTCAGGGTTGATTCACCAAAAAATTTTGCAATTATGAATGGTTCTTGCAATGGAAATTCATTTGTCGACTTAAAGAGGTGTCAAAAATTTCGTTTCCATTGGAAAGAAAGGAAATACAAATTTTTGATAATTTTTTTTTCACTTTTCAGACCAGCTTCGCGATACAAGCGAAAATCTAAAAATTACAAAATAAGGCCTTTTTATTTGAATTTCGTAGTTCCTTTACACATTTTCAAGTGTATTTGAATGCCATTCTATCATTTGAAGGTCTTATTAATCATTTATCTGCATATTTCATTGATTTTCTACCGTGGGCCAACCCTGAATACTTTTTTTAATTGACTATAACTCCGAAACTTTTGGTACAATATTTTTACAATGTTCAGCAAAAACATTACATTTTAGTAGATCTTTCGAACCATATGCAAGAAATCTCCAAATTCGGCTTACGGGGGAAGTTATAGAGAAAAGTCAAAACTATATCCAACCCTGACTACACTCCCCTACATTAAACAATTTTTTTTAATTTTTATAGTAATGCACATAATTTTTTTTATAAAATATGTAATTTAGTTACTATAGTAAAATAATAATATTCATAAAAATTCGTCAGTTTTTAACTTAAAAATTACCGTAAAATTGAAGTTTGAATAGCATTAATTTGTATTAAAAATGAATTTTAAATAATAAAAAATAAACTTCTTACATTTTTATATTTGATTTCATAAATAATCTGCCTAAATATTCACTGTTTAAATTCTTTTTTTTAAAGTCATGTAAAATTGTTAATTTTCACTTTCTATCGAAATCTTTTAATTCATATAGAAGGTAATAATGTACTATCGAAGAAAAAATTTGGTTTTTGATAAGAATTGTGGACCCTAGATTGGGAAAATGCAATGGGAAAATTTCAGCAGCAAGGCGTTATATATATGACATTTATTTTATTATTAAATTTTATTATTTTTAATGAAAAAATTATTACTTTTATAGTATATTCGTATTATATGATTATTTCTTTCATTGAAACGTCCACTACACTTAAAGTTAATTGAACTGCTTATTTTAATACAAAATCTTCAATAAATTAAACATAGGTACCCAGGTGCCTCGTCCGCCCATAGAAGGTGTTTTTTTCTTCAGTCTCATAAAGGTTAACGTTAAGCTAGCACCAACAAGCATTTTTTAAAAAAAAATGAGGACAGGCAAATTTTTGCTTGCTAGCGGTAATTAGCCCTAAATTGTGGCAGTTTATATTTGAAAATATTAAAGTAGTGGTGCCAGTTTAATAGACCTTCAAAACTACTCCTTTGGAGACGCAACTATTATTACAACTAAACGAACAAACATTTGCATAAATCGAACTATCATAGAGTTTCAAACATTAGAATATACAGGATTCACTAATATAACTGGAGTCTTAGGATTACCTTTTAAATTTGATATAATAAACGAGACAAGAGATTTTTCTAAACTTTATGAAAATTATTAAACAACCAAGCACAATGTCGCACGATCAAGAAGAAAATACTATTAATAGAACTATAAGTGACGCAATAGTAACTTCAATGGCTGAATGTTTTGCATTACAACAAGAGATTATGCATATTCTTTTTTACGATGGCAACAATATTCCAGTAAGATGGAGATTAAAATTAAGAGACTATGAATACGAATTCAATTATAAACTTCTTTCCTTTTTTTATGAACAATCAATTAAATAAATAACTTAAGAAAAATACTAATAAAAATAAACTAATTTCAGATGGAAATTCTAATCATCGGATACCTTACCGAAGCAGTTGTATAGCCTTTAAAATATTATTGCTACTTATAGCAATAATCATCTTAAAAAAATTATATATTGTGACGAAGTGGTCGTCAGACATCCCCTGTTTAAAATGACGCGCTTGATTGTCGGGCCCAGGAGGTGGCGCCGCCAAACGGAAGAAGGTGTAGCTAGCCGCCGGGACGCCGAAATCAGATGTTCGCGTCAAGAGTATTACGATAGAGACTGTAGTGAGCAGTACAATTTGTGTGTATAGATTTGAGAGAGGAGTGAAAAGAATTATTTGTTGGTCGAGAGTTCGACAGTTTTGTAGTTTTGTGAGAAAAGTTGGATTTGTGGTTGAGCAATTGGTCGAGTGACCAAGAGGGGCTCATTTATTGTAACAATTGTTTGGAGAATAAAAGAAAATTAACGAGTAAATCGACCAAGTTATTGATTTGACCTGTCGACATCTTTGAATTGATCGATTTGTAACGAGAGTTGTGGGTAAGTGAAGATTTGTTTTGTTTCCTGTCGTGTCTCAGAAGGTCATTTTCCCTTTTTTTGACTGGTCTTGACGGAATCTCCTTTGAGATTATTTTTTGGGAAATGTAATAGGTTGGTGTAATAAAAATTAATAAAGTTCGATAAATGAATGTGGTTTGTCAATTCCAATAAAAATTGACTGGCGTCTAACTATTCGCGATTGGGTTTCTTTTTATAACAATTAAAAAGGGGAGGTTAATTAATAAACTTTTAATTATTCCAATATTTACGTTATAAAAATTGGCGCCCAACGTGGGGCATTGTCGAGACATTTGAGACACGACAAATTTAATTGTGACTTGTGGTATTTGACTTAATTTGTTCTATAAAATTTTCTTGTAATTTATGATATTATTTATTGTTGACTTGAAAATTTATTTGACATGTTTTGTGCATTTTTTTTGTGACATGGGCGAGGAGATTTTTGGTGTGTAGAATCAGTGCGCGTTAAAGAAAATTTTTGTGAAAATTATCGCGTCCACGAGGCGACGCCATTTTCATCACGAAAATTTTCAAAGCATAATTTCGCGGAAAATTCCTGACAGATTTTTAAAATAAAAAATTTTATAAAATCAGTGAATTTTTTTGATTTTTGGATGTAGTTATTTTTATGAAAATTATTATATTTTCACTTTTTGTTCCCCACGTGGCCGGCTTCCGTGGAAAATTCCAAGCCTCACGTGATAGTACGCGCATGCGTTGTTAGAAACCTCGCATGAGTTTAAAATTCGAATCTCGGTGCACATACACTCGCGGATCGTGAAAATTTTCTAAGAGAACATTGTTATTGCGCATGACACGGGACTTGGAAATTTTGAACAGAAAGAAGTACAGTGAGAGTAGAAAGAGATAGAGTATCGAGCGAGATCACGGATAAGAGCGATAGAAAAATCGAAATTAAGAACTGTAACAATTTATCGTAAATTGTCAAGATTTTTTTTTAATTGTTAAAATTTTGAGAAAATTATGAACAAATTTTCAGGGCCGTATTGACATATTGGGACCCCGTGGAAATTAATTTTGACAATTCGCAAGAAATTTTTACTGTGTTGATAAAATTAAGAATTTTTTTTTTGACAAGAAAATTATCTTATTAAATTAAACATTTGGTCAGGACCGTATGACAAGGGTACCGGGCCCAACCAAAAGAAATTTTGATACTTGAGTGGAAATTTTTAAGGGAGAAAAATTTTCCGTTATGACAGTCAACCAAATTGTTACGATTATTGTTGACCAGGACCGTATCTAGAGGAGACGGGCCCCCAAAAATAAATTGTGCCATTTTGCATAAATAAAGAATTAATTTGTTTAATTTTTGTTTGTTGACTCTCAACCAAAGCAATCAAAATTTAAAGTGACCAGGCCCGTATCACGGAGTTACGGTACCCCAAAAATTTTTTTTGATAAATTTTCAAAATTTTTCTGGTCGGCGATTAAATAATTGTTTTTTGCGTTTAGTTTTTGGAATTTTTTTGTGATTCGCAATGGAACTCTCACTAGTTGAAATAAATGACTACGTAGAGAAAATGCACAACTTGATGTTGTTGGAACAACCGAGAATTACATGGGGTACAATTCTAAGCATGCCGATAGGGCAAGTTGTGACAACATTATTACAACATCAGTGTTGCATTAGTGGGAGTGCACAGGTACTCAGAGAGAGGTTATTCAGAATTAGTCTGAGAATTGATTTTGCCAATCAATTTGAAGTCCCCTTTTCTGAACTATTTGACCTGGGACAATCTCAAGAGATATTCAGGGTAGAAGCGTTTACTTTCCCAACAGACGAGGAAAGACAAAATATCAACTTAAACAGAGGAGGGGGGCAAAATTCTGACAGTGAGGAGGAAGCGGGACGTGGTTCACCTCGTGACTTGGGAATGTTGGGAATGGACAGGAGTGGGGGAAATAGCGCGTCACACAGCAGACACAGTCCGACCAATGACAACCTACCACCCCCGGTTATGACTTCGGCATGTATCATGACAAATTCGGTAATCACCACGATGTCCCAATCATTTTCCACAACTACTTGTGCGATAATGACAGCACCCCAAACGATAGTGTCATCCACAATGGCACCAAGTGTCCTCAGTTTAAGGGAATCGGTCGCTCGTTTTAGCCTGAGTCCGGAAATGAGAAAACTTATTTTATTAAACCAACGTTTTACAGAGTTATCAACGGGATTTGACTTGGGAGGGGTAATTGATTCTGGGGTAACCCACCAAATGCCAATTCAGAGCACACCCCAAAATCAACAGAATGAAGTTTCTCATACACCCCTACAAAGAGAAACTGACGAGAGAAATAATTCACATCACCCCACCCCAAACGTTGGGACTATTGAGAATTTTAAGTGTCCCATTTCAAAACAAGAAAGAATTTCAAGGTTAGCGACTGATGGTAGTGAGAAGAGCACTGACGTGGGAGAAGAATCGAGGTTTGACAAGAGATCGGTGTTGGGTGGGAGGGAACAACGTCCATATAGGGACAGTGACAGAGCGCGATCTGGTAGAAATACAAAGAAAACAAATGCTAGGAGGACTCTTTTCGACGAGACATCTAGTGACTCGGAATCAGAGAGCAGCGACACATTACCGACAAGACGTGACTTCCGAGAAGCAGAGAGGCGCTCTAAAGTTACAAAAATCCTCAAAGATTGGGACATTAAATTTTCCGGAACCGAGCGTGAAGACCCGGAAGAATTCCTGGAGCGGATGGAAGATTGTCGATTAGGCGAGTTGTTCAATGACGAAGAACTCCTGCAAGCAATTCCGAGTATTTTTCGAGAAAACGCGAGTCGTTGGTTCCGAACTTTGCGACATGACGTCAAATCATGGAAATCGTTCAAACGGGCGTTCAAACGCGAATATTTGACTACGACCGACGATGACGAGGTGGTTGACGAACTGAGGAGTAGAACTCAAGCTAAGGGGGAGAAGATTTCTGCATATTTGACAAGTTTGAGGTTAATAATGGGACATTTAAAAAGACCATTGTCAACGGAGCAACAAGTTAAAATTGCGTATAAAGGGCTGACCCCAACATATCGTCGACAGGTGGATGCGTCGGGAATGGAGTCTCTCTCCAAGTTGGAGAAAAATTTGCGTCAGTATGAGAAGGTGAAGGACCTTGATGACCGGTATCTTCCCCCACCCTCAAAAGAGAAGATGCGTTTCCCCGCTGCAGCGTTCAAAGGGGCAAAGAAAGAGTCGACTAAGGGTTCGAAAAATGTGGCCGTGATAGAAAAGGATGAAGGTACCACTGATCAAGAGAGTATTGCGGAAGTGACCAGCGGGACGAAAAAGGCGGAAAAGAAAACTAAGAAGTCAAAGACGAAAAAGTCCAAGACGAAAAAGAATTCTGAGGAAGTGGAGGTGGAAGCCTTGAAACAAACTACCCCCACCCCTCCCACCGCCCCAGTCCAGGTACCGAACCCGCCGACGTACGCGGCTGTAACGGCGAACAAAGGGAACAAGAGGTTCCAACCTAAACAGGCTGGTACAGGGACAGTACCAGTGGGACAACCAGGGACACCTGGGACACCAAAACCATTTGTTGGCATATGCTTCATTTGCCAAATGGTAGGACATCGTTCTACACAATGTCCACAAAGAACGTGTTTTGTGTGTCAGCAACCAGGGCATTTTGCAGCACACTGTCCCACCCGCGCCCAGCAGTTGGAATCTTGTCTGGTATGCAAGACTCCCGGGGTAAATTTTTTGACATGTCCCACATGTATCCACGTGCGTAATGCATTGGGAAACAGCCTGTGGGTGGCACAGAACGCGTCTGTACCCCCCTCCAATCCCCCCAGAAATCAATAGACAAGATTTCTTATGACAGGGTAGAGAGGTCGTTGACAGTTGGGGTAGAGAGGTCAGAAAATTTTAAAGAGAAAAAGAAAGGGTTAAATTCATTCCCAGTCAACCAAGGAGCATCTTGCAGTTGGCAGTGGAGTGGGGATGAAGTTGTTGACCAGAGTAAGAGGGAAGTAAGTAAAGGAGAGGTGAAGAGTAAGGAGTACTTACTCATAAAAGGGAGTATGATTGACGGGACAAAAGGTACTGAAGGTGAGTCAGTACCAATGGTCCAGGGAAGGGGAGAGGCTGTGACGGGCACAGTTGACCCAAACCTTATTATTGACAAGGATGTGGATGGTAGCCGATGCGAAAACAGATACTTTTTCCGTATGCACATTGGTAAGAATTCTTTTGAGGCACTTTTCGACCCTGGAGCAATGGTTTCAGTAATCAGTGACAGAGTGGCAGCGCCTTTCAAAGATCGAATCCAGCCTTGCAATACGTCAATCAGGAGTGCTATTGGAGGTACTACCGAAACAGCAGGAATTTTAAACTTGAACATCACTGTGGATGGTCATTCCCAGAAATTCGCTGTTAAAGTTCTTAGCTCAGTGATTCAGGACATCATTTTAGGCGTTGACTTTTGCAAGGCTTGGAAGATGGATGTCCAATTGGGACCTGGGTTGTGGAGAGTCTTCGGTGGTGACTGGCACGTGTTCTGCGTAAAGGACACTATAGAGGGCGAAGAAGAGATATACGCCGAGTGTGCAGGTATCTCTGCGTTGACGGACAAACAAAGAGATATCGTGCAAGAGGTGGTTAACCGCCTAGTTCTACCACAGGGTGAGACCTTGGGTATGACAGACTTGACGGAACACCACATCAGGATGACGGATGAGACTCCAGTCCAGCACCGACAAAGACGAATGTCCCCAATTATGATCACTTGGGCACAGGGTCATGTTGTCCAACTGTACAGACAAGGGGTAATAGAGCCGTCGGGAAGTAATTGGAGGACAGCTCCGGTTATAACAAATAGAGGCGATAATGATTTTCGACTATGTATGGACTTTAGGGACGTGAATAAAGTCACGGTAAAAGACGCGTATCCACTTCCGACGATAGATTCGATTCTTGACAAGCTTAGAAGAGCCCGTTACCTATCGAAAATTGACTTAAAGTTGGCATACCATCAGATTCCCATGGCCGAAGATAGTAAAAAGTACACAGCATTTGCCATTCCTGGCTCGGGACTTTGACAATATCGCCGTATGCCTTTCGGTTTGACGAACGCACCAATGACGTTCCAACGACTGATTGACGCCCTTTTTGGACCGGAATGTGAACCATTCGTGTTCGGATATCTTGACGACATCATCGTTGTGACTGATAATTTTGACGAACACCTTAAATGGTTAGAATTAGTGTTGAAGAGGTTGGCTGACGCGGGTTTGGTGGTTAATCCTGACAAGTGTGAATTTGGTTGCTCACAAGTCAGATATCTGGGATATCTTCTGGATAGCGAGGGATTAAGACCTGACCCGAAGAAAACGGAACCGGTACAGAATTACCCAGCTCCGACAAACGTCAAACAAGTCCGTAGATTTTTGGGTATGGTAGGTTGGTACTCTAGATTCATCAAAAATGACAGTGACATAAAAGTACCACTCCTCAAATTACTTCAAAAGGGTCGCGAATGGGAATGGGGTGACGAGCAACAGGAAGCTTTTGACGTGTTAAAGAAGAAATTAACATCGGCTCCAGTTCTAGCCCGTCCTGACTTTAGCAAAACGTTCACCATCCAGTGTGATGCTAGCAACTATGCTATTGGCGCTGTTTTGACTCAGGAGTTTGAAGACGGTGAACATCCGATTATCTACATTAGTCGAGTGTTGACTGGGGCGGAGAGAAATTATAGTGTCACGGAGAAGGAGTGCCTGGCACTATTATGGGCAATTAAGAAGTTTCGGCCATACGTTGAGGGATATAAATTCCGAGTGATCACGGACCACAGCGCATTGCGATGGCTAAGGAATTTAAAAGACCCGACCGGACGACTTGCGAGATGGGCACTAGAAATGCAGTGTTGGAACTTTGAAATCGTTCACCGGAAGGGTGCACTGAACAATGTTCCTGACGCATTGTCTAGGATGACTGAGGATGACGAGACGGGAATTGACGCGTTCGAGACTATTGAAGACCAATGGTACCTAAACAGGATGGAAATGGTCCAGAAGTTTCCAACACGATTCCCGGGCTGGATGATTGATAACGAACTCTTATATCATTATCGAAACGATCCTTTGCTTCTTCCAATTGATGGTAACGAGGATGGCTGGAAGTTGGTCGTACCAGAGGAATATAGAGACAGAGTTCTACATGACGGTCATACAGTCGCATCAGCGGGTCATCTAGGAGTGGAGAAGACTTATAACCGAGTGGCTAGGGAGTACTACTGGCCAGGAATCTGGAACGATATCCATCAGTACGTTACTCGTTGTCCTCAATGCCAACTCCATAAGGTCTCTCAGGCTGGTCCCTTAGGATTGATGGGACAGAGAATCGTGGAACGACCTTGGTCAGTCGTGGCGGCTGACACGATGGAATTCCCCCCCAGTAAGAGTAGATGTAGATACTTGGTGGTTTTTCAGGATTTGTTCTCGAGATGGGTCGAGTTAAAACCCTTAAGATCAGCTGACGGGAAGTCGGTGACTAGAGCATTCGAGGAGTTGATACTTTTCCGATGGGAGACACCCAACTTTTTGTTAACTGACAATGGGAAGGAGTTCGACAACCGGTATCTCAAGGACGCACTTCAGGAATATGGAGTGAAGCATATTACTACACCTCCATATCACCCTCAAGCCAATCCGGTAGAAAGGAGTAATCGGACCTTAAAAACCATGATTTCGGCATTTATTGGGAGTGACCATCGTGACTGGGACCTCCATGTTCACGAATTTCGACATGCGATGAACACGGCGACCCAAGCAACAACCAAATCTTCCCCCGCTTACTTGAATTATGGTAGGAATCCCCGATTAATTAAAAGTTTGCGACGAGAGGTTGAGGCCAAAGACAAGGTAGTTCTGATAAAACCAGAAGAGTGGGCTGACAGAGTGAAACGTTTAGACGCGTTGCGGGACTTGGTGAAGAAGTTCATTGACAGGGAACGTGACAGACAACCTGGGTACTATAATCGAAACCGCAAGGACGTGCCCTTTAAAGTAGGAGATTTGGTACTACGCAAAACCCATAAGTTATCTAGCGGAAACCGAAATTTTGCGACAAAACTTGCACCAAAATACGAGGGACCTTTTGAAATTGTCGAACAATTGTCCCCAACGGTATTCGTATTGCTCGCTAGTGATAGTCGCAGAATCCCCAAAGTCCATGTCACCGACCTTAAGAAATATCTACCCCCTCGAAATTGCCTAATTCCGTACTAATAAATTTTAAAATTTCAGATATCGGAGAGAGTAATTTTGACAAGGGAAAGAGGAGTTGGAAACGAGAAAGGACGTTTGACTCGAGTGACAGAGGTGAGAGGAGTCGTGACAAGGCAAAGCGAAGGCGGAGAGAGAACTATCGTTCAGTACCGCATTTACCAAAGTACGACATGCCACGCAGAGGATTGACTGGGGAGTTGACGGGAGATACTAGGAGAATACCACGACGTGAGGGCAGCGCGCTGTTGCCAGACAAGTGGAAGGGAAATGACGAGCTGTGCAAGAAGTTTAACATGCCAGAGGCCAAACTGACAGAGGTTTCAAAGGAAGCGCCCAAATCAAAGTTGGTACCGGCCAAACCACCAATTGTGGAACTGCTTCCGACGAGAGAAACTCCATTGTTGGTCGATATTCCCCCTCCAGCGTATTATGACGTGACAGCTCCTAAGAAAAAGGAGAAGAACCTGGCGGAGGCCATCCGAGAATTGACAGAGTTGATGGCAGGACTACCGATGGAAACCATCAACTTGGCGATTCGCCAATTGATCGAGGAGCGCAGGAACTCGAGTGGAAAAGAGGAGTGATTGGAGCTGCTCGATAATTATTTTGACATGGGATGGGATGGTTTGCTTTTGAGTTTTTCTTTTTCTTTTTTTTTGAGTTTGTTACAGGTTCGGTTGATTTTTCTTTTTGGTTTTGACGTGTTATCTGGAGGTAACACGGACTAGGAGAGGGGCTTTGTGACGAAGTGGTCGTCAGACATCCCCTGTTTAAAATGACGCGCTTGATTGTCGGGCCCAGGAGGTGGCGCCGCCAAACGGAAGAAGGTGTAGCTAGCCGCCGGGACGCCGAAATCAGATGTTCGCGTCAAGAGTATTACGATAGAGACTGTAGTGAGCAGTACAATTTGTGTGTATAGATTTGAGAGAGGAGTGAAAAGAATTATTTGTTGGTCGAGAGTTCGACAGTTTTGTAGTTTTGTGAGAAAAGTTGGATTTGTGGTTGAGCAATTGGTCGAGTGACCAAGAGGGGCTCATTTATTGTAATAATTGTTTGGAGAATAAAAGAAAATTAACGAGTAAATCGACCAAGTTATTGATTTGACCTGTCGACATCTTTGAATTGATCGATTTGTAACGAGAGTTGTGGGTAAGTGAAGATTTGTTTTGTTTCCTGTCGTGTCTCAGAAGGTCATTTTCCCTTTTTTTGACTGGTCTTGACGGAATCTCCTTTGAGATTATTTTTTGGGAAATGTAATAGGTTGGTGTAATAAAAATTAATAAAGTTCGATAAATGAATGTGGTTTGTCAATTCCAATAAAAATTGACTGGCGTCTAACTATTCGCGATTGGGTTTCTTTTTATAACAATTAAAAAGGGGAGGTTAATTAATAAACTTTTAATTATTCCAATATTTACGTTATAATATATATATTCTGTATACAGACATAACCATGACAAGACGCCGATCAAATCAACAATTATCAATTTAAAATCATAATAAATCCATTAGGGACAATAGATACAGTAAGGGGGGGGGACATAATACAAAAAAAATAACCCAATAAAAATTTCAATACTCAAAAGAAACAACCAAACATCAACAGCGCCTCTAGTGCAAGCCATGAATAAAAATCCATGTACCAAGTAGGGATGGGAATCGAAATGAAGTAATCGAATATCGATTAATCGATCGAATCTTCTAGAACAGTAAAAAGAAGTCGATTAATCGACACTAAAATTCGAATAAATTCGACTTTATTCGATTTTTTTAAATCCATAAATGAGAGATTCTTTTTCAATCGCCCCAGCCCAAAAAGTCAATGTTCTGGGATTGGCTTCATACTTTGGTAAATTGTTGTCCTATATGATAGTAATAAATCCCTATAATATAAACTCATTAAAAAAATATTTGTAGAAAGTAGAGGGGGTTGAAGTTTTGACGTTAAGGGTAACATTGTCATTTTCAAATCCGTATAACTTTGACAAAATTTAATGGATTTTAATTTATCCATAATGAATTTTAATGCATTTTTCATGTACTTTTCAAAAATGTTAACAAAATTTAAAAAAAAAAATTTTACCCCTTTTTTTTCAAAATCAACCCTTATTTTTCGATTTTCACCCCTTCGGGAATTTTTTTTTTTATTTTTTTTATTTTCATTGGAAAGCTGTGGTTTTTTCCCATGAGCTATGTAAATATGAAAGTGGGACAACAATAATTTTGTGAGAAACATAATATTAAATTAGGCGGTGCCTACCTAAATCCTCAAAGATGATCTCCAGGTATACCCCTTATCGGCACCGTCTACTTTAATATTCTGTTTCTCACAAAATTATTGTTGTCCCATTTTCATATTTACATAGCTCATGGGAAAAAACCTCAGCTTTCCAATGAAAATAAAAAAAAAAATACCCGAAGAGGTGAAAATCGAAAAATAAGGGTTGATTTTGAAAAAAAGGGGTCAAAAATTTTTTTTTCTAAATTTTGTATACATTTTTGAAAAGTTCGTGAAAAATGCATTAAAATTCATTATAGATAAATTAAAATCCATTAACTTTTGTCATAGTTATACGGATTTGAAAATGACAATGTTACCCTTAACGTCAAAACTTCAACCCCCTCTACTTTCTACAAATATTTTTTTAATGAGTTTATATTTTAGGGATTTATTACTATCATATAGGACAACAATTTACCAAAGTATGAAGCCAATCCCAGAACATTGACTTTTTGGGCTGGGGCGATTGAAAAAGAATCTCTCAAATAGGTAAAAAAATTGCGTTAACGAAAAAATTTTCAATAAATAAATTCATAATTTATCATTAAGAAAGCATTTATTTCAACAAACAATTATAAAATTAAATTATTAACATTTAATAATTTTTTATAATAAATCTGAAAAGTATAAAATTATTTAGTTAATATTCGAAAAAAAAATCTGAAAAAAATTGACTGATTTTTTTTCATAATTTCTTGTTTCTACTAACCAATTTTAATAATAAAGTGCATGTATCATAATTCCGATAACCTATTATTTTTAAGTTTAAATTTTATTAGTGTACATTTTTCTCGAAAGTTTTTATATGTATTTAAGAATATACTTACCTAAAAATTTTGGCAAACACCACTGTGGTAAAACATGGGTAAAAGCTTTGTTATCATTCACTTGTCTTCTTAGTTTAACCAGTTTAACCATTAAAGTCGTTAATAGACATTTGACGGTCGTTGTAGAATCTGATTGTGGCAGGGACGATTAACCGCTCATGTTGTGAGCCAAAATGTGTTTCCAAAACTTGCCACGCTTTTTTGCCGATTAATCGAATAGAGTATTCGACTACTGTCGATTAGTATATCTTACTAATCGATTTCTATTATTCGATTAATCGACACCTACTATTCGATTTTTGCTTATAATCGATTTCGATTTTACCATCCCTAAAATGTTCCTTTACCAAGAATCAACACACGCAAACATTAAGTATTTGTAAAAGATCTTGAAAATACTCGACCTCAAGAACAAAAATGGAGTTAGAGGTTCCAGCTCTGCAACAGATAACAATGTAAAATGTTTAATATTAACAAACACAAATTATATGATGTTACAAACAAATAGACAAAATAATTTTTACAAACCCTGAAGAATCAGTTACATTTGAAAATGATACAACAGGTGTATTTGGACGTCGTGCCATCATATCTAATAGAATTTTTTCCATAAACTTCATCTCTTTGGTGAAACTTTCCTGTAATCTTTCCAACTGATACGACGAATTTCACCCAGTTGTGCTGCCGGAACATACAAGGAATTTTTTTTGGGACGACCTCTTCTTTTTTTTCCTTCTTTTCCTTTATCGATTTCTGAAGGATGTTTTCACTTAAAAGAAGATTCATCTGAACCGATCGAGTCAATGACAATAATTTATTTAAATGATTGTAAAGGTCCAGTGGATTAAAAAATACGTCAGTGTCTAAATAAGAAACAAATTCAATTGTTACACACACAAAAATTACTCCTTATCTATGTAAAATCCTTCCTGAAGAAAGAGATGTCCACTTGACAATAGTTTATTTTTTAAAACAAGTGAAGAAACTTTAATTAATTTAATTTTGTTTGTATTAAGTGTGTACGTGATGTTCGGTACTACACTGATAAGCATCCTAGATTAGATATAAAAGTGTTCTTGATGTGCGGATCACCTCGTATCTGATTGTTCTAAGTCAGCCATACTTGCAGTTCGGTCAACTGATTCAAGAATACAGTTCTTGATAAATTCAAAACTGAATAAAAGTATTTATCCATTTCTTTTGGGCACATATTTCAAATTTTGATGATTTGAAGGCGATGCAGGAAAATTCATACCACGATGATCCGTTTGCGCTTTTCTTTAAACTTTTTGGTAATTTCGAATTAATGTAGGAAAATCGTTACCAGCATCATCCATTTGTGCGTTTCTTTTAGGCACTTTATTTAAATTTTGCTGATTTGTAGGTGAAACCGTACAATTTTCTTTTTCTGAGGTGCTTTTGGAAACGAAAGTGTTAAATTTCATGATTTAGTTTTTGTTACATTTTTGTAAGGAATGTTGACTATTTCCGAGTTAACAACTGATTATTTCTTATCAGCAAAGTAGAACTGGGCATTGCTCTCTCTAACTACTACCGTTTCACACAAGTATCATAAATTATAAAAATTTTATCTTTCGACGATTGAAAATAATTGTGAAAATAAACTACAAAAAATATTAAATTTAATATTCTAATAACTAATTGAATAGAATGACGCCTAGAAAATGGGTATTTATTAATTTTAATTTATATTAAATCCCAAATTAAATTAAAATTATTAATTTTAAATAATTAATGGGCTATACCAGTGTGACACTTTCAAAAAATCGATTTTTTTGGCTTATTCGATAGTTTATACTTTCAAAAATATCCTGTGAAAGCGGCAAGGTCATATCTTGAATAGGTTTCGAATGGCAGCATTCTAAACAGCGACCGCTCTCTGCTATAAGCCGCTCCACCTGCCTATAGACGGACTTTAAACGCTTTTTTCTCGAAACGACATTTTTCAAAATTGCTGACATCATAACTCAACGAGAAATTGACCGATTGACTTCAAATTGAAATTGAGCTATCTTAAATATATTTACTATACAATGATCAAAGATCTTTTTGATTGGTTGAAAATTGTCAATTTGTCATTAAAAAACGACCATTATTTTACCCCAAAAAACGAAACTTTTTTTCAAAACTACGCCATTTTGTTAATTTTTGGAATTTTTTAAAAATCGTAGATCTTTGTATAGGAAATACCTTCAACTTTAAGAATCTTTTTGAATTTTTTTGTTTTATTTACTCATTTGGCCGGAATTGTGTCAGCAGTTAGGGAACATTTTTTTTGTCACCTCCGAAGACAGTACATAATTGCGTTATTTTTCAATATTTTTTTAAAAAAAACTCTTAAAATATAACTGAAAATATACCTTATTATGTCCAAAGAACTTCAAAATATTCTATCGAGTACTTTCTTTTAATAAAATTCCCAACAATCTCATAATTTTTCATGGATTACACTGGTATAGCTCCTTAAAATATTAAATTCATGACATTTTTTTTGGGTAATATTGAAATTTTTAAGAAAATTGATTAAAATTTCACATTTCAAAGTGATTTAAAACATTTAGAAATGATTTTTATTAGATTTTCAATATTTTGTTAATGCTTTTAATTAATTCTTAAAAATATTTTTGTAGAAATTATATTTTTTAATTTAAAGAACTTTTTTAAACCACCTTATAGAATACTTTCAAAGAAGAAAACATATGTCAAAGCTTTTTTTATATATTTTAATTATAGAAAAAATATTTTTAC